GAAAAAACCCCTCTGTTATACTATAAAACTGTAAAGTAATTTGTTGTTATTCTTGAACATTTTCTTTCATTTTTTTTCAACAAGTGCAAAGTTTGCCTTTCCCTCATAAGCTGGGTCTTGATTTAATTAGACTTTTTTTTTCACACTAACCTGCGTCACTGATTCAAAAACCAGCATTTTATTAGGAATGCAGAATTCAAAACAGAGATTCAAAGCAAATATATTTGGCATTTTTAATAAAGAGACAAAGCCGCGCTGATTGATCAGACCATGAAAGTCATTACTTGCGGTTGGCTGGGCATTAACATGATTGATGGTTAATATCTTCTGCAAATCTAATTAAAGTGTCGGTCTCTGGCAAAGGAATGGTCCTGTGTTGGTCCCAAAATTCAGCAAAACTGTTGTCAAGAATTATGTCAGTGTGAGCGGTTATACGATTAGCTGGTGAGATCATTTTTAAGAAGTGACGGGTCCTTATGTTCCAGCAGTGGCTGAAAGATCATATGGATAAGTCCTGCAATCAAAATAAACAAAATGAATGAGCAAATCATATGAAGCCTTTGGACAGGCAATGTCCTAAAATGCCTCACTGTAAAAGGATAAAGTCTTAGAAACTCTGTAATAACCATCAACACAGAGGTGCTTGTTTGTGTCTTCATGCTACACTGAGCACAACTGTGCACGCAGCCAAGCAGCTTGTTTACTCCAGGTGTATTAGAACTGGTTCTGATTACCAGAGGATTTTAACTAAAACTCACTCGTGCAAAGAAACTTAATTGTGAGATTCAAGTGGAAAATACAAATGATAATGCTAGAAAGTACCTTAAAAACAACACAGGTCAGATGCTTCTCTTTCAAATGTGATTAGCTGGGCTACGTGTGCATGAAGAGTGCAAATATACACTTTTCTTGATAAGTGAAATCTAAACGAGGAGTTTCAGACACACCCTTTTCATAACCGTACTCCTCAGCTCTGGATGAGCCAAGATTCAGGAAGAACTACAAAACAACTGATGGAAGAGTATAAAACATACGCTGTCTTGGAACACAAAGCCATACATGGAAAAATCAATGCATGCCACAGCTCACACACTGTGCACACTTACTGAAGTAATGTATGCAGCCACAATAAGACACGTTTTTCTCCCGAGTGAGCTCCCATGCAGCTCTGTAACCAGTGTCTGATGAGTGTGTGTGTTTCATACTTCACACTGTGCAGAGTAAGCTCCAAACCACATGAATTCAGTGTTTGATTTAGCAGGAGTGAAAGAGGGAAGAATGGAGATGGCGGCCATCTGGCCATGGTGTGGGGAGATGAGAAGCAAAAGCGGTGGTTGGAGCAAAGGGTCCCTCGCATCATTCCATTCCTTCTGTAGTCAGATCCCTGTGTTTACCCTGCTCGCCACATGGGACTGAGGAACCTCCTTCTCCCTGATCTCACGAGTGAAGTCGCAGGCTGAAAGCGTGTTTATCTTTTCCAGGATTTTGGCGGGAGGGAAAGAGGGGGTTGGGGGGGTAGTGATGGAGCCAAAGGAGAATAAGTGCCGGAGAGCCCTGACAGTAGTTTGGAATTGTATAATGTTCCTGGCTATGAGGAAATGCATTCCTCTGTGCTAACAATGAGCATAAAATGATGCACAACACATCTAAATGTCTACTTGATATAATGGTGCAGCTGAAAAGAGGGTTTCAACAGTGGTTTGAATATCACTCAGTATGACAGTAAAGCAGTTTTGACGAAGCAATGTAAAAAAAAACTAGATGCATTTTGTGCTTCTTGTGTTTTACCATAATGTTTTACTCATAAAACTAAGCATCAGAAATTACAAAAAGTATAGATTTTACAATTATTGACTGCTGTCTTGTAACCACCTTGATAAAACAGAATGATTGCCTCATTAATGATTGAAAATTGTTCCTCTAAAGAGTGAAACAGTTAACAATTCTGCATATTTGCAACAGACCTTACTAATGTTATATCTCTTTGCTGATAGAGTCTGTTTTTCAGTGAATGGCTGTAGTTTGTTTTGTTTTTTTCCGACAGCCTTCCCTACGCAAAGATTCCACTCCTCTAACGTGTCTTGGAAACTTCAAACCACACAAGGGGAACCTGGAGGATGTGTCAGTCTCTGTGGTGTGTCATGCATCCAAAATTTAACCTCAGCATCGAATTGAGCAATGAGCATAGCCGAGGTTCCGACATTTTCGTTGGGCAATCAGTCTTGAGGCTTTTATTGAAACCTTGTCGTGGTTCAATGCTTTGCCTCTTTCATCAGAGAAATTCACTGACCAGGCTTTCCCTGGAGAGACTCAAGTGCCCCAAATCCCAAACTCAAAAGCAGGAAACTAATGCCTGCTAATGCCCTTTTCACCCTCTCAGCTTGTGTGTGTGTGTTCTCATATATATGTGTGTGTGTGTGGATCCGTTTCTCACCCTTTGGCCACTTTCTGCTTTTTCCTCCACCTGGAAAAAAGGAGTCATTACAGTAAAAAGTGTTTACTCGTGTAGGAGAACACAGAGTGTGTGCAGGGCAGTGTCAAAGTACCTTCTTGTACTCGTCCTCACAGCCACAGGAGTCAAGTATTCCCCTTTCAGATTACAATTTATACTCAACAGAAGGGTCTCTGTAACAGAGTGGATGGTCACAAGGTAGCCTCAGGTAGTCTCAGAGGATCAAGAGGGTTTTTTTTTTTTTTTTCAAATTCCACATTCCTGAAATGAACTACATGTTGTGCCAGATTGCTAAGCTACCTGCTGCAAGGAATAACAAAGCCATACAAACAGTAATACGATCCCAAGGAAGTTTTGGGAACGTTCATATTTAATTACTGCTGTGCTGTTTGCCAAGTGAAAATGTCCTCTGTTTCTGCATGAAGCAGAGTAATCTGACTATCAGCTGTACCCGTTGTCAGTGGAATGATACGTAAGTTGCATTCTTGAATGAAAAACCGATTGAAATCTGCCATAAATACAGTTAGCCTTATATTTCAAAAAATAGCATGTTGTAGTAGATTCCTCAGGCTCCAGAATGTAAAGCCAGGCAAACTCCTGCAAGTTGTTTTCAATGATTTTTTTCCTGGACAAAACAGAAACATGAATTTCTGATTACAGCGTTGCTGTTTTTCCAGCCACAAGTGGTTTTCTTATCATGCATTTCATCTCATAAAGCTGACCTAAGGACATCTGCTATAGTACAGCAGGTCCTCTGCTTATCGTGGCAAGTAAGGATAGCTTAACCGCTCAACAGCTCCCTCCGCAACATGTTAACGATCAAATCCCCAGAGGCAAAAAAACAGAAGCACATAAAATATGAGCTATCTCAGATGAAGCAGAGGTTTCCAAGTTTCTTCAAAATGAAGACAGAGCGTGTAAAAGAAGCCAGATCTATCAGGAGAGGAATTAGGGCTCTGTGGGGAACACGGATGACTCACAACCAGACAAAATCATCCACTGTTCGTGTGTGTGTGTTTGTGAATTCCCATGGAGCAGATTTCTATTGGCAAGGTTGTAGAAAAACAAAAGATGATGGTCCTGAACACTGACACCTCCCACACGTCCGGCGGGGCGTTATTGGAAAGTGTTCAGGTAGAGTAGGCCTGTCTAAACGACTAATTCAAAGAACTTGAGCTTCTTTTTTAGATGATCTTGGGAAATGCCCTAGTTAGCAATCATAATGTGGGAAACTGCCGTATAACCACAAGTCTGTAATGTCTGCGCCACAGGCAGCGTGATGAGAGTTGTTGTATAACACCATTGTATGCTGTTGTTTTCTCATGAGGTGATGCTATTAGAACTCTAGTAACCTGTTTCAGGAGGGGAGACATGTCCAAACAAATGTGTAAAGGTGGATAAGCTTTTCTTTTTCTTTTTTTTTAAAGAGAACTTCCTTTACAAGACTTCTTGAACAGTTACTGTTCATGAACTCTTACAGGGAGATATCACATACTGTACTTAAAGTCTGAGTCATACAGACTATGCAATAAAACCTATTGGTGTCATAACTGCCAGTATATCATCAGAGGGACTGTGAGGTTTACCTCACCAGGCACTGTAATCCTGTCCAGGCTAAGACCAGGCTAAATTAGTTGTAGAAGATATTTTGTAGGCTAAATATGATAATCAGTCTTCTTCAGTGTTTGAGACATAGAAAAAAACAAAAAACAATGTATATAATTTCTCCACCACTACACTCACAATATCCTCAGAAGCCAGAAAGCTCTTTTTTATGAGCTCAGCAACCTTGGTAGTGTCATATTTATTTAAAGTTGTAACTTGGGAAGTCCGAATCACTGAAGAGAATCTACTTTCTGTTTTTTTTTTAACCCCTATAAACTATTAGTGTTTCATTCATTCACAGTACATTTCGGGACAATTTTGACCCGGGCACCAACTTCAGAAGCTCTCTCTCCTCTAGCTTACCTTTTGCCTCTTTTTACCCTCTTCTCTTTCCCCTCACCCCCACCTGGTTGCAGCAGATGTCTCTCCTTCCCCGAGCCTGGTCCTGCCAGAGGTTTCTTCCTGTTAAAAGGGAGTTTTTCCTTCCCACTGTTGCCAAGTGCTTGTTCACAGGGGATTGTGTGTTTTTTGGGCTTTCTTTCTAATATTGTGGAGGCTTTACCTTGCAACATAGAGCACTTCCTGTTGTTGTGAATGCCATATAAATATAATTGAACTGAATTGAATAGGTGTCTGCAACAAATTGACTAACTACAGATTAACTTGATTGTAACTTAATTTTAGTTTAATCTCACCTTAGAATTAAGTCGATTCTTATGTATTATAAATGTAAAAATGTCAAATCTGTTGGTGCTTGGTATGTGTTAGGGTCAAGGTTAATCCTGGTAAGTGCTTGTTGTACCGAATGATCATAGTTTGACACATTTCTATGAAGTATCCTTTTGCTTTCACTTTTGTGTTTGAATATTATACATATTATGACTTTTCAAGAGGCAATAAACATCCAGCCACCGCCTCCATTCAGCCTGGGAATTTTCTCCGTCTCGCGAAGCGTACAGACTCGAGGAGCTCACGACGTGGTGGTGTGATACTGTACGTGATTGGCGGGCGGGTGGGTTTGGTTTGTGTGTCTGGGAACCTGCTACTGGTCTCCCATCCATACACACTCACACACAGAGAGAAAGAGAGAGCCACGGTCAGACAGACTGGCTCTCCAAAACCGACAGCAGGGGGAAAAAAAACTCCTCTCGCGGCTCAGAAACCAGCAACTATCGCAGAAGTGAAGTCGACGCGATGTTAACCTCGAAATGCTCTCTTTTATTTTGAGAGGAAGGCTAACAATAGGGAAGAAGCTGTTTAAAAGTAGGTGAAGTGTGACAGCTGGAGACATTTAACCCAAGGATTTGTTGACTGCACGTGGAAACTGCTCGCTCAGACGCATCGGTGAGTAGTCTCTGCGTCCCGCTTACTTCCCGCAAACAATCAAAAGTTGGGCAGATATTTTACACAGGCGTACGGGGGGAGTTTCTTGTTATTGATGAACGACTGGAAGACTGCGCCAACAACCTTTCAGCCACTTTGCGGTACAATCAATATAAGCGTGCGCGCGCGCTTGTTAATCATTAACTAGCGCACGCGACGGTGTGACTTACTTAAAAAAACAACTTGTGTATTTTTTAAATTATTATTATGTATCATTCTCTCGGGCTTTCTGAACGGATTTCTTTGTCAAACATTGTTATTGTTTGAATTGTTTTGCTGTTAGAAAATATATATTTTTTTGTATCCGCGTTCACGTCCCTGTTTTTGTGCTTTAAAGTGTACGTTTGATGCCTGTCTTGTAAATTAAAATTAAATAGCTCACATAGTTTCTGCCAAACGTTTAATATTTGAGCGCCAGCCCAGCATATACAAATATTCCAGTGAAATTCCTTTGAGCCCAACGTGAATGTGGGGAGTTGTCCAGCACCAGTATTATGATTGCAGGGTGTGCTTCTCTGTCATCTGTTTGTTTGCTCGTCTTCATGTCACAGTGGCAAGTTAGAGTATAAAAGCCTCCAGATATTATCCACATGCTAATGCACACATGTTAAAGCTGCAAAGGGTTATAGTTTGAATTCCTTCCAGTGAACCGGACAGAGCAAGATGTTTGAAGGCTAAATATGTTCACCTCTTAAATCTAAAGCGTTCAGTGTTAATATTTGGATAATTTGTGCAATATCCAAAACCAGGTTTTTGGCATCTTTGTGCTAAAACAAACCAGTCCAAATGTGTATGGAAACTGTTTAGAGCCTCAGGGGCCACCTCGGAGCTTTTAAAAAGGGAATGATGAAATAGTGTTTTTAGTTAAAATGTGTATCAACCAAATGGCCTTTTTAAAGGGAAAAAAGACATATGCTTTGGCTTTAAATATATCCTAAAAAAATCTCAGGGGTGGCTCTTTACAAAGTCCAACACATGCTTGTATTTAAATACTACTATACCAAATCCCAGAGCAATTCCCACTTTTGTATCTCCAGGACATGCTGCAGACCTTGAAGAATGTTTAGTTGGGATTAGCTGTGAGGCTCCTTATACTGCCCCTATGCTCCTGGTGGCATTAACTAACCCACTTACATTAAAATATTGCTTCTTGCTGCACGAGTTCAGGGTTTAATTTGCTCTGGCATGCCATAAAAGATAAGCTTATACCTTTCCCCATAATTCAGTGTCCAATTACAGTCATGATGTAAACTGTTGAGCCGGCTCCCTCCCTGTGTGTCCACTACCTTGGCTTCTTCTTCTGCTAGACGGCAAATATCCTCGAAGGCAGACATAAAAAGATAAAGATCCTTGTTTCTGCGGTGCATCTCATATAGTGAACAAATAAACTCTGCTGCCAGGGTTTCTGATAAAATGACATTGAGGTCTGGAGTCTAAAGCTTTCCCTGAATTGCTCTGCTCTATGCTGTGTTTTAATATACTTAATGGAAAGGCAATGAAAGGAAGACACACGAAAGATATAGGGGTGCGTCTTTTAAGTGCCCCCCCCCCCAATTGCCAATTGTTAACCTGCTAAAATTTGGGTAACATACTGGCTGTCGTCCCTGTCACTTTTCCCCAGTCCAGTTAGCAGACAGCAGAGGAAGGGCGTGACAATCCTACTGACCAGCTGCCACATCCTACTTCTGCAAATCTTGAATGACTAAACAACAGTGAGCCTTATCTGCACTAGATGACATCTAGAACTAGCGCTGTATTAATATGAAAAATAATACTTAAAGAAATGTTAGCTAGAGTGAGTTAATTCCAACACATTACGTGATATTCTTTGTCATGGCAACCAACTCAATTATTTTCAGAAGAGAACCTGATGTTTTTTGGCTCGCATTCAGATTTTTAGTTTCTTTAAATTCAGAAATATGTAGAATTTCGTCTTGATGCATGCTCAATCATCCAGGTAGGTAAATCCACAAAATTTGATTCAGTTCATCTGGATGTAGCGTTTTCAGTGGGAGAAACGTTTCAAGGAACTGACCTCACAGCCCATTGTTCCTTCAGTGGTGCTAGTTTAAGTGGTACTGTTTATAAGACTGGGGAAACCTGCAGTCAGCTGAGACTGAAGAACTCACTTGGGTGAGTGACGAAATGTTTCTCCCACTGAAAATGCTACGTCCAGATGAACAGAATCAACGTTTGTGGATGTAGAATTTGCCTAACATCTCTCTCGCCCCATCACAGTTCACTTCAACTCATTGTTGCCACCTTAGTGACTTTGTCACTAGATTTTTTTTGTTTTTTCAGCATCCTGCAAAAAAAAAAAAGTACTCAAAACAAAACACCCCCGCCCAAAAAAACTTCAGGCGGTACTCCTTCGCGAACGCTCTTGTTCTCCCGCTGCTGGCGCAGTTTTTTCACCATCTGCTCTGTTCAGCGAGTGACACCGAACAACAAGGTTTCAGCTAGTGACAGACAGCTGTGCAGCTTATGAGAGGAAAAAAACCCATCAAGTTGCATCTGTTTCTCTCAGTCATCATTTTACTTGTAAACGCAGACAAAAATCACAGCACAGCCATTATATCTAACTTTGGCTTTTGCAAGATGATGTTGAAGGGCAGGCGCTGCGTTTAAAAAAATAAATAAATAAAAAATCCGAATTTTGCATTGAGGGATTGTTGCTCTTATTCAGTATTTTGGCTGTATGGAGTGGCATTTTTGTCTTTTTACCTTGATGTATATTTACGTCTGTACTGTTATGCAATGTGTCATGCCATTGGTCCTCTAACAGTCATTATGCTCGTGATCTCTGCAGTGTTTGAGACATCTCTCATTAAGTGCTCTCTATCTGCTTTTCTTCTGTTTTCCCAGCCCCCTTCTCAAATGTTTTATTGCTAGAGGGCACTGGGCTCTAAAGAATGAGCTCATTTGGGGGCCTGGCATGTCATTCATTGATTCATGGTTAGCCCATGCTGCCCTGGCAATATATAACCTTCACTAACAGCTGACTTGCACAGGAAAATGGATGGGACCTTCCATATCTTTCTGTTTTAAGGGGAGAAAATAACATCCTATTCAGTCTGGTTGATCTATGGTGCTCCCTTTTAACACAAAATGGCCATTAAATGGCATGTGCACTATTCGTTCTCGTGTACATTGCTATATACACATATGCGCGCCATGTGTATTGTGAAGAGAAAAAGTTTACAACTCATTGAATTAACAACAGAATTTAAAAAAAGATCCTTATGCAAAAGATGTTCCTTACCTGAGTAAGAGCCTACACTTTGAGCTTCTCTTAGATTATGTATGCAGACACGGATGTCTCTGTTTATTTTCTCAAAATCGGTGCGATCCCTCTGCTGAGCATGAGCTTCTCAACTATAAAAATCTAGAATGTGTGTAATATAATTTCTTGCCTTGCTGGCATTGTTACCCACGCAGTAAACGGTTGTTTAGGTTTGCATTCCTCAAGTCTTACATGTGACAGCTCTTCATTTGGATTTGGTTATAATGAATTTGGAAATTTTGCTGCGTCAAAAACAAAACAAACAAAAAAGTGATGCCTCAGAAGAGAAGATATGGCAGTTCAGAGCCCAATGTGCTGGATGCAGATTTGCAGGAGTGGCTTTTATTTCTACTGGGAAAGTCTGACAAAGCTTTCAAAGCCTGGCGATATTGTTTTGTGTCATACTTTTGATTCCTTCTCAACAGTACTATTGTTTTTCCATGTAAAGTACATTTGACTAAATAGATTATATCTAAAGTGTCTTATCTTGCACCACTGAAACAAACCCCATTGCTATTGGACTTGGTTTTTATTTGGCTTTAAATGAAACTTTTTGAAGAGAGAAAAAAAAAGATTTGATATTTTAAAATCTATTTTCAAAGTGGCACTACTATAGAGAGCAAACTATTGGATTCTCCAAGCTATAAAATGAGTCCATTCTAGGATCACTGACCCTCTTTCATTTGCTTGTCTAGGTAACGGCTAGGTGCTAATAATCAAACAGAAGTTTAGGCACTGGAACATTGAGGTGGGTCATAATAACACAATACCATGATGTTCCGATCCCAACAAATTCACTCCAAGGACATAGAATTTGCAAAAAAACGCAAAAAAACCTCTACAGGCCTCAGCTAGCATGTTAAATGTTAAAGTTCATGATTGTACAATTAGGAAAGGACTAAACAAGTATGGCGTGTTATGAAGCGTTGCCAGGCGAAAGTCTCGTCTCTCTAAGAAGAATATATTAGCATTTGTAAAGAAGATTAGGCTAATATCCCTTTGGATGAAGAGAAGATGGATGAAAGTCAAATAGAAAATAATTGCTTTAAGTTACTTGAAGTTGTTCTACAAGGTACTGAATCATGGGGTCTACTTGTTTTTTTTTTTTTTGTTTTTTTTACTGGACTGGATGGAGTTCTGAGAAAAATCTTTCGCTTTCAAATGACTGTACATGTTTTTGATATATTGTGTATGCGAAACTGATTTTATTTTTTGTATTTGTGGTGTAGTGCTGCATTAATACAACGCAGGCTGGCAGTAACACCTCAAAAACAGCAGGATCGATGTCGTAATCTCTCAGTTATTTTATGAGAAGTAACATTCACCATCTGTTCGCGTGGCAGTGTTGGATATCGCTCAGTCAGTGACACGGGTGAATGACATCACTCTCTAAAGATCTAATCTGTGAACGTAGGTGCGCTATGGAAGGTTTCTTTTTTTCCTGTTAAATCGAGGCCCTGAAAAGAGCCGCGAGTCGATGTGAAAGATGTGCATGAAAGACTGCAGATGAGGTAGCATGTTTTTATATCTTTGAGATATCTCCCACAGTGGAGTGTGGAATGAAAGAAACTATTTTGTTTCTGAACATTTCCAAAGCCAGTCAAATGTGAGTGGGAGGAGTAGATATGTACTTCTTTTGAAGGAGGACTTATTAGTTAGTTATCGCGTCAGATCATTATATGCGATATTCCCAGCTGTACTTATTTCATATCAGTTCAGCTGAGGTTCAGTCTGCACTGCTTTTCGTATTGTTGGCTTATCAGGAATAAAAAAAAAGAAAAAAGATTGTTGGCACGCCACTGCAGTGCACCTGTATGTTTAATTCTCAAATATGGCACAAGGGACCTGTTTAACAAACTGTACACTGTGTAAAAATGTTTGGAATCTTTTTCTGGATATTAGTTGTGGATTATTCTTACAACTTTCCATAAAGCTGAGTAAATTCCCCAACGTTAATTAACCTAGATTCCCAAATACGGCACCAGACTATATGCTTAGATTATTAAAGCTGTCAGTCTAAAAAGAAAAGTCTTAAGAGTTGGATATACATCCAGACTATACTGCTTTATATCAGTGATAGATAATTTACTAAACTTTTTAATTACACATACAGCAGAGTAAATATATTTAGTAATAGATGGATGTCAGATGGACTTGGTTGATGTATTTTTTTTTTTAATTAATAATCTTTTTTTAGCCTGTGCCACCTGCTGATCTGGCTTTGAGCTTTTATGCCTCTCTAAAGGAAACTAAAGACACACCTTTAGTTTAGCTTGACAAAGCCTGTATCATCCACCTGTCTTTTGGGCCCATTTTCTCAGCTCCTGCTGTTTCTGTTGCGGTGGAAAGAAGTTGCGGTTCCTGTGTGCTTGTGAGCACAGACTGGAAAGCGGGAGGACCGTGTTGATGCTTAAAGAAGAAGATGTGCAGGCTAGCTCTCCAAAGACCGCACTCCAATGAGGTCCCAGGAGAGCACTGAGCATTGACTGAACACATTTCACATTAACACAAGAGGGGAGCAAGGGAATGAGCAGGAACAGGGCTGGTCCTTTTACTGCTTGGCAATACACAACCACAGTTAATGAAGTGTTTTTGAAAGGTTTTGCTTGAAAATGGGGTGATAAGCAGCCGTAAAGTATATGTCCGTCATTTTCACTGCTACAACAGCTCCTTGGCTGTGACTGCTCGCACAGCTCAGAATTGCATAAGACTGCTCAAAGTCAGACCATAAGCTGTGCACTGGAGCTGGCTACATTTCGCTGCCTTGAGGCTCATGTTTGCTTCCTTCTCCTATTTCTGTTCCTTATTCTCTTCCTTGCATCCCCCATCTACTTATCCCCCCCTTCCCGTCATGCTTCAGCGGACCACCTGAGGGGGGCTATGTGCTGTGACAGCTTGAGGGGTGATGTGGGCAGCCTTCCTTTATAGCTAGAAGATAGTGTAGAAGAGGGAGAGGTGCTGTGGAATAGGGCTTTGAAAGTGAACAAGTCCACTGCACTAAAAAAAGAGAAAAAAGTCCACCGCACTGATTTGCTACTAGGTAGCAACGAGACCAAACAGTTGATGCATATTTTCTGTATTTGCTTTGCAGTGTGCTATCTAGTTAAACAACAAGAAAATAAAATAATTGTGAGCAACTGAAAAGGTTGAACTAATTTAGAGTGGTGCATGTGGAATTTAAAGAAAAGCTGTGATATACCCCCAGTATTGTTAGCTAAACATGCACATGCTAAAAATAGAAATACCGCATCAATATATTGAAAAAGCTTGTTATATTGGGAGGATTTGATGCATAACTCTGGAGAGCTGTACAGTTTGTGCACATTGGGGCTTCTGTCAGTTAATGAAATTAATTTTGTGAAGGTTGGGTCAGTGCATTCAAAAGGGGGGGGGGGGGGGAGGCTAAACCGTGGCAACTACTCTGGAATTCCTGCTAATGGCCTCGAGGCTGGTTCTCAAAGCAGGTCAGTCTAAAAGGATGTTGGAGTCATATTGCAGTTATCTGGCAAACATTACTTTCTGTGTGGTAACTTGCACTAACTTGTTTTGGTATCTCGTCTGTGCCATAGATATAACCAAGGTTGCTAATGCTATCTTGAATGATAACTTAGCATTTCATCCTTTCATCAAAATGTGGTCACTCCTGACTTTGAGAGATGAACATGCAACATGCAAAAATGCAGAGGCCATAAAACAGCTCTGGTCTGGTTCTGATTTTATTGCTCTAAAAGCTGTATTAGCAGTATAGTAAGAATTATCAGTTAATGATTTTATGAATTAATTGGCAGATCAAAGACTTTCCGAATTTCAAATGGGGACATAATGAATGAACAAACAGGCTATGGATGTGCTGTCTGCATATATAACAGTAAACAGTCACTGGGGACAGTGTCAAATCCATGAGGAACAACTGTTAATGTGTGTTACTACTGTTGTTGTTGTTTTTCTTTTCCTTTTTCCCCCTCTTGTTCAATTTGTCTTGCTCTGTTTTCTTTAAAAGATGTCTTTTCAACCAGTCAGTGTTCTACCTACACACAGCATCACAGCTGTTGAAATACTCCCAGTTGGAATTGATTGGGTGCACACAAACGCGTCTCCCTTATTGCATACCCATAATCCTTTACCCAGCCAAGACCTATGCAAATGGACAGGATCATAAATCCTTTATTAGGAGAATTTGCAAATCAGAAATTTTATTAAATATGTGCATTTTATGTGATATGAGATTTAGAGTTAACAGGTATGTAAAGTAATAGTTAGCGCTCCTTAATGAATCAAAGGTCTGCACATTGTCAGGAATAATCTGAAGACTAAGCTCTAGCTAATTCTTTATAAATAAGGCTGCAAGTTTTTCAGTCGGTGCCGGAGCTCAGAATGGCAGTATACTGTGCATGAAAGGTCTAAATTGAAGGAGCTGTCTTATGTTGAATGCAAAATAGTCCTGTGCATATTTTGATGGGAAACTGTGCTGTCTCTTAGCCAAAGTCTGCGGTTGTTGGACATCTCCAGTTCCAAAGAGAGACATATTTATTAGCCTCTTTAATTACTCTCCTGGCTGAAGTTTTAGTTTACTTTTAAGATTTGCATTGCTGAAAGAGCACACAAGAAGATGGATAGAAAGAGAGAATGTTTAATAAGTGCTGGCTGTGAAAGATTAAGTTGGAAATGTAGAATCACTACTACTGCTCGATTGTTACTTAAGCTTTCTAATCTTCTGTGATGAAAGTAGTATGTTTACCTAAAATAAAAAACATTGTCAGCACATGGTGATTGACGTTGTCATTTTAATTTTAATTTGTAGTTTTAATTTTTTCAAAGAAAAAAAGTCAAGGCCATATTACCATCTTCAGATTTTTGTGGGAGGAGAATATGGTGACCTTGGAATACATTATATCTATGCTGAACGTGTTGCATTTTTATGGGTGAGGTGCCTGTGACAGGGAGATGATTCATCTCATTTTATAGATCTTCTGTGTGTGATGTAATTCAAATGAAACCAACATAAAAGGATATATTAGAAATCACTTGGAGTGTGATGATGGGCTCCTTCCTCCATGACTATTTATTAGATTATCTTATATTGTAACAATGCTGTTGTGTCTAAGGCTTTTAAGTTCCACTTGTTTTGAAGTATTTCTTTTGGTATGATGTAATCCTGCTTTAACGCTTAGACCAGAGAACACTGAGGGTGCTTGGTAAAGTTCGTCCTTCTGCAGGTTTGCTTTTGTGCTAATCAGTCAAAACACCAAACTGTACTTCCACTAAGCTGCTGAGCACTAATTTCAAAGCTTGTTGCATTGTTACAAAAGACTTTACTTTGTGGGCAGTTGTTTTTATAAGCAAGTCAGTTTGATGAAAATGGTGTTTTGCAGTCTTTGCCTCGCTGTAGAGTAATTCAAGCGCTACTTGAGGCTGACAGATTAGTTCATAAGCAGCAGGGTGGCCTGTGCTGGCCTGTGATGTATGCGGTTGTAAGTGGTCTGTGTCTGAAATGAATGTGTGTGGCTGAGAAAATGATTACGTTTCAGTCCTCATGAGGGGGTTTGGGCCTAATTAACCTACTTCTTTATGACTGTTTCTTGTGCTCACTCACGGTTAGGGCAACTAAGCACACCCTTCTTTGACACCATTACACGTAATGTTGTGTTTACGCCGTCCTCCAGAAAGAGATTGACTAGTAGAAGTTGGCTTGTTGTAATGGAAATATGATTGCTGTTCTGTATCTGTGAGACTAGCAGTACTCTTAACAGCTTCAGCTGAAGTCATTTCATCTTTGTGAGTGGCAATACTTCCAAGGAGAATATTGCCAAAACATTTAGAGATATGCAATGCTAAGACTGACTGCAAGGGAAATGCAGCTATAGAGGATTTTGGAAATAACCTAATGAGCTGTGCACTGTGAGCAAATTCAGGTAGTCTTGTGTGGATTTTTCTCTGCTGGAAAACAAGATTAACTGGTCCAAGACTAGGTTTGTGCATGGACAAAAGATCTAAACAAATCTGCAATTAAGTACCTCAGCTTTGTGCTACCATGGTACAAGGAAGTGTCTCCTCTTCTTCCGAAACCATTAGAATTTTGTGTATAGCACAAAAGATAAGAGTTCCAATATTTAAAGAGCGCTTATAAAAAGTTACTTGAGGTAATGTAAAACTAAAATGTTTAGCAGTTATTTTATACTTTCAAATTTTAGGAAAAAAAACTGCCTGGGTTCCTTTCGTGTGTACATTTGACTTGTGCTGTATATTGCCCTCTCACTGCCATTACACAATGCACCTTGTTTCAGTAGATTCACACTTCAAATTAGGATCCGTGTTATTTATTAGAAAAGAAGAATGGGAAATGCCCTTAATGTACTTGCTAAATGAAAAAAGTGTGTTTCAGGATATGTGAGATCTTTGCTTTTTCTAAGCACAGTCTAGTTGGTCCTACTTAATTTAATTAGCTGGTTTTCTTCACTCTCTTCTCTTCTTCAGTGAAGCCTGGATTGCTCCACTTTAACTGGTGACCAGCTGTTTACGTCTGCCTAAATCAGAGATGAGTGCCAAATCTGTAATCAACAAGGAGGTGTTCATACCTCACGATGAGAAGATGCTTGCTGCTGTACAGGTGAAGCGGAGGACAAAGAAAAAGATCCCCTTCCTGGCCACCGGTGGTCAAGGAGATTACATGACATTCATCTGCGTCTCAGGTCAGGACAAATTAAAAACCTCCTTTTGTTTGCTTATGTTTAAATGCAGTTTATGCTTTTTGCCTTTCTATTTGCGAGAGCGCACCAGTTGCGCCTTTGCAACCCACAGTCACATTTCCGCATGTCTCCCATAATTCTTCCACTAATGTTCACACTGATGAGCATGTTTACGTTTTCCCCTGCCAACAGAATGACACACTAAATCAATTTGCTGCAGGGCTTCATGTCAATCTTTTTAAATAGATTAGATTTAAGATGAAATTGATTAATTGCTTCACCAGAAATTCAGGTTTCAGTTGTTTCAGTTTGGGGTTTTTCTCCCTTATTGTTGGAACATTAGCTGATGTATTACTTGTTAATTGAATTACCCAGGCAAATTGTTCATGAGGAGAATATCTAGATCCTCCTTAATTCTCGTGCCAGAAAAACTGCTTGTGAAAATCTGATACATTTTTCATTTTCTGTCTTGAACGCTGCTCTGGCAGCAGTAGATTACATGACTGAGGGTTATAGTTAACTTAAGGATGATTATGAGGAATTTAAAGTATAACCAAGCAGCTCAAAGCCAGTAAAGCTCTGTCTATGTTGGATTCAAATTCAAGGTTGCCTTGCAGCAGGCAAGTTACTCAACAGTCAGCCTCTTTATTTACACCCTCAGATACATGTACATGAAAGGCAACTGTAGCGAGCGCAAGCCACAAATTGTCAGAGAGTGGACACTGTTTTTCTAAAGGGTTTATAATGAGTCATTTCGCCTTTCATGTGGAAATAAGTATTGCTTGATATTCACTTCTTGTAATGCCAGTCTCGTCACGTCCCTTGCAGCAGCGTTCACCTTTGTATCTCATTTGAGCTTGGCCACTGTGAAATATATTAAAATCACTGGATGTCCTAATTGCTTATTTTGCATGGCAGAAAAATGTGGTAATTATCCGATGTTGTAGCTTTTTGTTAAATTCAAAATTACTTTGTATCTGAAAATTGGGTATCTATGTTGTTCCTTTGCCTGACCTAACGTCATGTGTTTTAATCTATCTATATTGTATTTTCTATGTCTTAATCCTCACTGACTTTGATACTCCTTGTGTTTGCTCTACTTGTTTCACAAGAGCAAAATAAAAAAGAAATGCATGTCACCATGGGCCGAGGGAGTCCACGCGTTTGTAGAGACATTTGATTTAGGTGGTGAACACCCGTGTGTAAGCATCAAAGCCTCTTGCTGACATGTTTTCTAATGACTCCACACCTACGATACTGTGTTGTTGTCTAAGAAAAAACATGCTTGGTGTCATTAGTTGGCTTCCATTTGAGTTGCTGGAATTGCTGCAGTTGTTTGTCCTTTTTGCTTGTTAAATAATTTTAAGTTTGACTGGATATCTCTCCTCATTATCTTTTTCTGCATTCATTTGTTGCCATCATTTTTTTGCTACTACTTTATCTAAGCCAAAAAATGCCCACTACTACACATTTTACAACAGTTGCAATCGGGGCAGTTGAGTAATTGGTCAATTCACTGACCATCATATCCATAGATGACGGGCACATAGTTAATTAAACAAAAAATACCTCCAAAATTTGATTACTGGATTTTTTTTTTTTATTCATTAGCTTAGCATTATTCTCAGATTCTCAATCCCCAAGTGATTTATTAGTGGACAGTCTGCCTGTTGTTATTGCAAAAGTTTGGTGGTTTTGCATGCACGTGTCCAGGACTGGGGGAAGAAAATACTTTGGATATATAAACCCAAGATTAATTTGTGCCACAGTGATTGCAATAGAAATCTATGGAAAAGAAAAGCATACCATATCATCTGTCAAACATGGCAGAGGCACACATACATGGTCAAGACTGGCTGCCAGTGGAAGTAGCATTATTGATGATGTGAAAACTGATAGAAGTAGCAGGATTAATTCAGTCCAAATGGGCCATCCAGGCATTTTGCAAAAGCAACCCAAGAGTTTCTCGAGGCAAAGAAATGGGATGTTATTAAATGGCCAAGTCGTACTCCCTATTCCAGCCAAGTGGAGCATGACTTGTAGTTACTGAAGACAAAACTGAATGCAGAGACCAACTGAAGATGGTTGCAGTAAAGACCTGGCAGAGCATCTCAAGGCAATGTCTGTGGCGAAGGACTTTTACTCCCAATATTAAAACCAGTTCTTATACGTAAAGCTGGTAGTTTGTTAATTCAGAACTGAAATTGGGCTGCGTATAAAAATGGTTGCAAGTACAAAACACTCAATGCAGTCATTTTGTTAAAACCTCTTGAATTACACCAGAAAGTATACACTTCACTCTGGTTTGATTTGAAATGCACTGCAGAGATGTACTGAGATAAATATTTACAAAATCTGCCCTTATTCGACTGCCTTTGCCCCTAACTGTACTTTTATAGAGATTTTCTACAGTCATTGGCTCCAACCTTGGTCTAAGGATGGATAGGAATGCTGTTGTTGAGTATGAGTAAAAGGACTGTGAACTGTTGCATTCCCACTTCTTTTATTATTTTTTGGTAGGTTTTTGCATTGGTTTACACAAAATTTATGTGGACATAAGAAACGTTTCACATGCTGTCATCATTTTCTTGTATGTAGGAATGCATGTTGTACCAAAAGAAATCCAGAGAATACACTGTCTGAGAATTCTGCTATCACCACCATTGCACCCATTTATCTTCCCCTAGACACTCTGACTGTCTGCATTAGTGGTCTCCTGACTCGGCTGATGTTTTGTATCACATGTGGGAACAGAAGTAGTGCCTTCACTACTTCTGTTTCCACAAGTCATGTGGCTTTTAAGCCAGCACAGCATTGTTCTAGATTTTATGTGCGTTTTCCTATGAATGTGCTGCACAATAACACCACAAGTTTGAAACTAGTCAGCTCATGGCTCCCAGGGCATTTTAAACAGAGGGCAGCTTGTGTTGCTTACGTGTTCAGGATGTGTGTAACTGTAAAAGTACTGTGTGTGTGTGTGTGTGTATAAGGGTGGGGGATGGTGCTTGTTGACAGTCTCATGGCGACAGTAGCATATACTTGAAGCCTGGGGGCCAAGCAGTGGCAGAGTTATGTAATCTGTGGGATGTCACGGTTAAAGGAAGCCTAAAGTACCAGAAGCTGTACTGTAGAGACAGCCACAAGAGATTCACTCTCAAACTGAGTAAGGTAGCAGAATGAAACCACATGACTTCTGCACTCACTCCAGGATCATATGCTTTTGTGTTGTCAAAAGAGGAGTATCTGAATACGTCAACAATCAAGATGTTTTTGTAATAAATCACTAACCACTCAAGTCTTTGACTTGTGTGTTTGTTGAGCACATGGCTGTTTGTCTTAGGTAGAGAGCTGCATTTATTAATGGAACAAAAAAGCCTGGACACCTGCCAGTTGGTGAGCAGTGCCGCTTACTACAAATTACATGTTGCTGGAGGAAAAACGAAACTAGTTTAGCTCACTTAGCTGGCTGTTGTTTGACTTTAGAGTGAAAGCTTGTAAATTAATCTTATGTTAGCAAAGAAGACTGATAATAATCTTAAATTCACTGTAGCAATAAACTGATTTCCACTAGAGGAGGGTTTTTTTTTTTTGCCCACAAGGTCTAGCAGAGAGCTCTCAAAAAACACTTGACTTTTTGGTGTGCATGATCATCTTTCTCTCCTAATTTGTTTGATGTAGTTCTCTGCATTTTTTTTTCTGTTTCAATCACAGTCTAGATTTAGTATGTGTATATACACAATGTAAAACTAAACCAGTGATATCTGTTATTCATATTACTGCCTATGCTAGTTGTTATTCAACTTAATGTGAGGTTGCATAATTTCTATTCTTTCCCACTATTTAATTTCCTAGCTCTTTCAAGCACTGTTGGGGTCAGTGCATTATGATTGATCCCTGTTCACATGCCAAACCACAGTGTCATCACAGTTTAAGTCACTGGTGGATCATTAACTTTCATAAGGGCCTGAATGAGAACAAGGTGTGTTGTGGAAAGCTCCATTAATATGATGAACTCAGTTCTGCTCAATACTGATTTTTATCTCTTTATAAAATTCCACTTTTAATAGATTTTATAATTAGGCCATGAATATATGCAGTGGGCATAGTAAAATGCCAACAATTTATAATTTAAGTTTTTGCAAATTTCAGACTTTTATCAGTACTGTTGGCATTTTGCTTGTAGTCCAATTGCTTCATCTTCAGTTTTTCAGTTCTCCTTTTCTTGTTCAGAGAGAAAAATGTTAAAACCCAAAACAGACTACAACTGCACAAGAGTCTGGGTCAAAGTCTGTGTGGAAAATCCAAAATACAGTGGAGAGGTGATTGTCATTGAGATTGGATCTGTAACTGGATTTGTTAAACTGTGGATATTTGTTCTCGTAGAATGGTGGATCCAAAGAGAACCAACATCTTTACTGTTGGCATGCGAGTAAGAATGTTGCTCTCAGGCTGGCTTGAAAGAAACTGCATTTCATCTGCAGATAGGCCTTTGTCCTGCAGTTTGGTATTTAGTTCATTAGTGCAGTCACATCAACAGCAAATGCATTTGAGGGCTCTAGAGTGTTCTTGCATTTCTTCTCACAAAACTCTTAAGTATATATGCTTTTGAGTCCCATATTCTTTTTAACACTTTGCCCAGGCTGAGCCACCTGACAGCTGTGTGGTAGCCTCTGTCACAACGTTTAGTCTCGTGCTCCTCCGAAACTGCGAACAGACTATGTGTGATTCAGCGCTCTTGCCTTGACCAAGTTAACTATTCATTAACAACATGGTTAATTTTTAGCACTGACTTAGATCACCTGGAGTATAATACAGTGTAAAAATACCAGTTTCTGGGTTCGTTTCAGTCTTTTCACCTTGCATCTGATTCAAAAGTCCAACATTTTTCCCTGTCACATTTGGACAACCATCGGGTAAAACGCCCACGAGTGTGTCCCATTTCAGCCCAAGCCCATCAAAGCACTTACCTTCGTGAACAAATCACTCCCTGTCGTAGTCCCTTT